AAAAAAAAAAAAAAAAAAAAAGAAAGGAAGTGAACAGAAGCTCACATTCTTAGTACAGCAGCTATCTCCAATTTATAACCACTTGCAAATGAAAAAAAAAATGGTTTTCTCCAACAGAGTCTCGCTGAATATACAAACAACTCTTACGGCCAGGCCCCAAGCCCTGCCTGCATTGTAAGGCCAACCCAAAATCAATTCAATGGCAATTTTGTAGGTTGTTTGTGTCATAATGCTTTGACAGGACTTGTTTTTTTTCTTACCAGTCCTGTGCATGAATATCACTGCAGCCAGTTTTGCTTTCTTACTGGATTTCTGTTTGTGCAAATATGTCTGTCTCTGAATCTTTGTGCATTTCTTGACCTTTTATAAAAAAATCTTTTTCTTCCAATTTTCTCCTGTTAAGATTCATTTCTTTTTTAATATTGCCTAATTTTATTTAATTATTATTAACATTAGTGTTATTATTTAGATGCCAGGTTATATCCAAAATAAAGAAAAAAAGAAAGGCTGTGCATTTGGGTGGATGAGGAGAGTGGAAAAGATTTGGAAAGAGATGTGGGAGGGGAAACAAAAATCAGATTATATTGTATTTTTAAAAAATCCATTTTCCCTTCTCCCTTCCCTCTCCCCTCTCCTCTTCTCCCAACCTCACCCCCACCCCCACCCCCATCCTCATCCTCATGCTCCCAACTTTTGTCCAGCAATTTTCTTTGCTTCCAATTTCCAGGAGTATCTATATATGTTTTTCTTTGGGTTCACCTTGTTATTTGGCTTCTCCAGGATCGCAAACTATAGGTTCAATGTCCTTTATTTATGGCTAGAGTCCACTAATGAGTGAGTACATACCATATTCATTTTTGGGGGTCTGGGTTATCTCACTCAGGATAGTGTTTTCTATTTCCATCCATTTGCATGCAAAATTCAAAATGTCATTATTTTTTTACCACTGAGTAGTACTCTACTGTGTAAATATTGCACACTTTCTTTATCCATTCTTTCATTGAGGGGCATCTAGGTTGTTTCCAGGTTCTGGCTGTTACAAATAATGCTGCTATGGACATAGTTGAACAAATGCTTTTGTAGTATATTTGGGCATCTCTTGGGTATATTCCCAAAAGTGATATTGCTGGATCCTGAGGTAGGTTAATTCCCGATGCGAGAGTTTGGGGGAGAGGGAGGGTGGAGATGGAAAAAGGGCAGATATAGGAGCAGGGAAGAAGATATCTTCATTAAGGGAGCCATTTTAGGATTGGCAAGAGACTTGGCTCTATAGGGGATCCCAGGTGTCCACAGGGATGTCCGCAGCTAGGTCTTTGGGCAGCAGAGGAGAGGGTGCCTGGACTGTCCTTGCCCCACTATCACACTGATGGTTTTCTCAAATATCACCATAGAATCTTCATCTGGTGAGGAATGGAGTTAGAGACAGAGACCCTCATCGGAGCAACAGACTGAGCTCCCAAGGTCCAGTTGAAAGGCAGAAGGAGGGAGAAGCTGAGCAAGGAAGTCAGGACCACGAGGGCTTGATCCAACAACTGAGACAGTGTGCCTGTTCTAATGCGAGCTCACCAAATCTAGCTGGACTGGGACTGAATGAGCATGTGATTAAACTGGACTCTCTGAAGGTGGCTGACAATGGGAGGCTGACTGAGAAGCCATTGATAAAGGCACTGGGACTTGTTTTTATGGCATGTTCTGGCTTTTTGGTACCCTAGTCTATATGGATGCACAGCTCCCTAGGCCTGGTTGTAGGTGGGAGGGCCTTGGACTTCTCATAGGACAGGGATCCCTGCCCTCTCTCCAGCAGAGTGGGAGAGGGAGGAGGAGGTGTGGGGGAGTGAAAGAGGATTGGGAGGAGGGAAGGAAGTGCAAATAATTGAATGGAAAAATAAAAGTTAAAAAAAGATATCAGAGTTAATAAGAAGCCTGAGCTAATAAGCCAGCCAGTTTATAATTAATGTAGACCTTTTTGTGTTTCTTTAGTACAGAACAGCTGTGGTACCTGGTGGGACAGAAACCTCTGTCAACAGGTATATGCCCAATAGTGATATTGATGGGCCATGAGGTAAAATTGAATCCCAATTTTCTGAAAATCCGCCACACTGATGTCTTGGAGCACATTGTCTTTGGAGGGATACCTTGCTCAGCCTATATATACTGGGAAGGACCTTGGTCTGTCTGGAAGTGAGGTATCAGATTTTGTTGACTCCCCATAGGAAGCCTTACTCTTTCTGAGAAGTAGGGTGGGAGAAGTGGGACAAGAGGAGGGGAGGGAGTGTGACCAGGGATGGCTATATAAAATGAGAAAATATTATACTAACAAAGTTCTTAAGAAAATAAGAAAGAAAATTTTAAAAATAGAAATACTTTGTCTCTCAAAGTGGAATCTTGTGTGAGTACAAAAAGGGGGGAATTCAATTCCACAAGATACAACATTAATAAGGGATTTCATGTTGGAACTGAGTTTAAGATAAATAAAATTCAAAGGCTAGAGCCCTGCCATGGTGTGAGCATCACAGAAGCCTCTGCTGTCTCAATTCTGCTCCTCAGCAGTTGCTGTATACAAGGGGGACCTTTTCACAAAGCAGACTGCAGACTTCAGGTCCGCAGGCACCACCAGAAATAAACATGAGGAGCAATGACTGGTGTTCTGTTAAGGAGCCTAACATAGGTGTGTGGCTGACAACACAACCGGGCAGCTTGGAGCTGAATGTATATGAGGAGCAGGGCTCCTCTCCAATATTCATTGGCTATTACATGTTTTGTTATACAATACACTCGTGTAAGTCTTTACCATGCCAAATGAACAAACAAATAAAGGTTTATACTGAAAAAAAAAATAAGAAATCAGTGCCTTTACTTAAAATGTGTATGTGTTGTTATAAAAGGCTAAGGGGCAAATTGAAGTGCAGACTCCTCTGATTATTTAAATAGTTGAATTCCTAGGATTACTGGATAACGAGCTAGGATAAAAACATCTCAACAGAATAAATACAGAAAGTAAAAGAAGGAAGTGAGGGCTGGAACCAGTGGCTTACATTGTAATCCCAGAACTCACAAATTGGAGGGAGCCAGATAAGGAGACCAGGCCTGTCTCAGCTACATAGTCAGTCCTGGGCCATCCTGAACTATATCAGACCATGCGACAGGGAATAAAATTAAATGTAAAATAAAGAATGCTTTGAGAATAATGATGTGAGAACACTCCACAGAGCATGTAGTGACGTGGAAAAGCTACTTAGAGTCTCTTTCTGAACTGTGACAGAGTGAGTGGGCAGAGACTAAAGAGGCAAAAGGTTTAGTTATAGATTTCATTCCGTAATATAAAAGAGTCTAGACATCCATTTGAAACCATTTGGGGGCCCTTTTATTACTCTACCTGAGTTCCCAAAACATGTTTCTCATTTCCTTGCTCTCAGTACTTTGACTCAGCAAGACACAGTAATAGTATGCCCAAGCGCTGTGTGGGTAGGCACAGTAATGTAGAGTGTTAGAACAGCTCTGGTTGTAAATGTCAGAACACATTGGGTGGTTATGGGCACAGGAAATCTCAAAATAATGTTTTTTTTTTTTTACTTTTGTTTTTCTTGGTTTAAGACCTGTGAAGTTTAGTGTTGTCGAAGTTTAGTGTGGTCAAAATTTGACCTCTGAAGAGAAGTACCGTGAAGTGGGAAACTGACCAAGAATGGCAGTTCCCTCAATGAAGTGGTGTAAACCAAGCTTCTCAGTAGGCTGTTAGATTTTTCAGATAAGCTCCTCAGCTTGGATGGGAAGAGCAGCTTGCAGATGTGAAATGATAAAGCCATTTCTGAGGGCTGAGGGTGTGACCAGAGGTTAGAAGATGTGACTGCACTGATGTGCACAGCTTCCTGGTGGCTGTCTCACCAGAAGTGAGTGGGCACATGATGTGGCTTCCCAAATAAAAGTGGCTTATGAATCAATAAATCAGGAACATAAAATATACTAAAATATATATTTATGCTTACTTGTATGTGATTTTTGCACAAACGTGAAATGAAAAAATTCAAGAAAATGAAAAAGTTTTTTTCATGTTTCTCAACTTTCTGTTTAACCATACTTCCCACTTTTTGCTATGCTTCACTCAAAGAACTGCAGTGTGTGTTATGAAAAGACTATCTTCTAATATAATTGTCTTCATTTAAAGACTTTTCCTTATCAGAAGCTCAAAGCTTTGTAATAAACAAAGGATAGAACTTGCAGCTGCTACTTTATTTGGCACTCTGGCTATTAATATTCTTCCGTCTCTTTCTAAAGCTGAAAAATTGGTATGATTCTGTCTCCACAT